AAAAATGCTAATAATACAAAGGAAGCAGTCTAATCAATTTCATTTTTAAAAGTTAAATATTATAATACACTTTGATGAAATTTTTATTTTATCAGTGTTATAGGAAGACATGCACTTATACTATGTAATTATAAACTGTAACATTATTTTTCTCTGGTAAATTCAGAAATTTTATTAACATTTCAACTTTAATCCAACATTATATATGAACTTCAGCTTTGAGAAGATCAATACAAACTAAAATAGGACTACTGATCACTCCTTTTGTCACTGAGGTAAAGTATTACACCACAGAGGTCCATGGTAAACAAGATCCCATCACAAAGTAACGAGATAAATTGGGACTAGCATCTGAAGCTTTCATTCTCATTTCCAAACAATACAGGTGTAATGATGGTTTTCAGGGACAATGAAGTAAATTATTAAAATGAGAATATTTAACCCAATACATCATCCATCTACTTGGACTTCTACAGTCCAAGGGTACTAGGATGTGAGATTTGTCAACACCATTAAAGCACACCCATGAGCACAAGGTTACCAGTGTTCTAGGCCAATGGTAAGAAGACTCCATATATATAGATGTAGTTATGGCCAGTTGATGAGGGGAACCAGTAATGTGAACATGAGCTAAATCTCAGGATTAACACAATGTAAATAAATGTGTGAACTGTATTTGGACAGAGGCTAAAATTACCACTGTTCAATCTTACTTACTTACCATAAATATGACTAACCAATTTCTGTTTTTGAAGAAAGAATAATTGGTTCTGGGTGGCTATTTTGAGTGCTTGTACTTAAGACTGCAAACTAAGTTTGGTGGAGTATGCCAAAATCATTGAGTGAAAGCATACTGCAGGACAAGATATTCACATGGTCTCAAAGTATCATGCCACAGGTGATATACTTTTAAAATGAAAAGAGATCTGAAACACAATACCTTAACCAAATAAGCAAAACTTAGCATTACCAAGAATGGGGAAATCAGACATCATGTGTGTCCAGAAAGGATGCAACAGGAAATTCACAACTTGACTTATATAATAGTGTAATACCTGAATCATGAAGAAAAATCAGAGAAATCCAGATTGGAGGTATTCTATAAGACAACTAGCCTCAACTTCTCAAAAATATCTTTGTTAGATTACAAATAACTAAAGAAACATAAGAAACATGACAATCAAAAGCAACTTTTTAACTTCGGTTGTAGATCAAAAACAAAGTGGCCATAAAGAACATACTGGGATCACTGAAGAAATCTCAATATGGACAGTGTAACAGATTATATTATTCTATCAATGTTAAATTGCTTAGGTATGAAAATGGTCTTGTGATCATAAGGAATAGGTTTACAGTATTAGGAAACATGCTAAAGTAGTTAGTTGTAAGGTATCATTCATTATGTCTATACCTTGTTTTCAAATGGTACATGCAAAAAAACTGTATTCACATATGCATAAGGAATTAAACATGGTAAAGTGTTAATTGACAAATCCAATGGGTTTTCATTGTACTAGTCTTTCTATGGGTTTAAAATTTTTCAAATTATAAGGGCGCCTGGCTGGCTCAGTTGGTACAGTGTGCAACTCTTGATCTCGGAGTTGTGAGTTCAAGCCCCACATTGGTTGTAGAGATTACTTAAAAATAAAATCTTAAAAAAATTTTTTCTTTCAAAATATAAAGTTGAGATATATAAAAAATTTAGCATATTGTTGAAAAAAAATTGAAGACAGGGAGCCTTAAGTATTGTTAACCCTAACGTCACAATAATAATAAGCCAAGCTTAGAAGTACGAGTTCTTAATACATACTCTCTTCTCCTCGTGGCTAATGAAAGCCTTATCTTCCTCCAATGTTTTATCTAGATCTTCATCAGTAAGTTCAGCTTCCACACTTCGGTTTTCTTCACCTTTTTCTAGATCCTCAATTAGATCTTCATCTTCCACCACGTCTTCCAGACCACTTTCCCATGAAATTGTGGATCTTTTTACATTTAATATTTTATTAACTGAATTATTAATGTCTAATAATACATCTTGAGAAGACTTGGCAGGTCCAAATGATTTCTCCTGAGAAGAATTTAAAATGTCTGGAACACAAACCTGTTAAAATATCCAATGTGACTTTTAAAACAGAAAAGGAAAAACTGTCAACTAAAAAATAACTTCGTAAATTTAAGTCAAATGACAATTCTAGTGTTTAAAAAAGACCTATGCAAACAAACATACAAGGACTCCTAGCAGAAGGGCTTCCTGATTAGCCACTAAGTAAACTAGATGGGTGGCAAAGCAGACAATTCATTACAAGAATACTCGTAATTTGGGGGCGCCTGGGTGGCTCAGTTGGTTGAGCATCTGGCTCCTGGTTTCGGCTCAGGGGTTGTGGGATAGAGCCCTATGTTGGGCTCCACACTCAGCTTGGAGTCTGCTTGGGTTTCTCTCTCCCTCTCTCTCTGCTCCTCCCCCTCCCATGCTTTCTTTCTCTCTCTCTCCTCTCGCTCATTCTCTAAAATAAATAAATAAATAAATCTTAAAAAAAATAATAATACCAGGGGAAACTTTCAATCTTGTCACATGTCCTCTTACTTGGTCAAACATTTACATTTTTAATTTTCAATTATTTCCTAGGTTTACAGTTGTAAGTGCAAAATGTATTAGCTATGCTGAGAAAAAAATGGTTCATATTCTAATAAGAGACTTAATGAATTCTGCAGAAATTTAAATATATTTACTTTTTGTGCAATGGCTGAGAATTTCAACACATTGAGCGTTTCATCATAGGCAAAATAACATTGGCTGATGTTGACAATCATGCATATTTTCCCTTTACCATTAAAAAAACTTTGAAAATAGTGGGTCAGTTTACTTTCCCGGAAAGGCACGTGTTGTTGAAACCTATGGAAAAAATTTTCAAAAAACTCTAAGTTAAAACAAATCTCATGAAGTCAGAATGCTAATAAATTTTACATAGAAATAATTAATCTAGCTATCAAGGACTTCTAGGTTAGTGGTTAGCCTATAAAAGTCATTTTCTGTTTATTTATACTATTTTCTTTAAATACCGCTAATAATAACACTAACAATAACTCACTAGACAAAATGTTAAGAAAATCACATTGAAGTGGTTGTGCTTTCTAGTGTAAAGCAATTTTACAATATATGCCATGAAACACCTTTATTAAAAATGATAAAGGCTAATTACAATTTACTCAGCCTAAAACGCTAATTAATGCAGAAATCTATCACATCTAGAAGAACACAATGATTAGTAAGAATAAAGTGGTTGTAGATGTTAAGCCAGGATCAGGAGAAGCTTATTATCTAAAGTGTCTGTTGACATATACTTGCTATGGAAAATAGTGTTTCCTTGATGAGTCACTGGCATCAACTGACATTGTTTTTTATTTCAATTTTTTTAATCCAAGAACTCTAAGTATTTCTATCATAATTCATGTATAGCCATTACATAAAAGCAGGTTAAAAACAAAAAACAACTTTCTAAAATTAGAGTTGAAAGTTTAAATATTAACACTTAATATACCCATAGCATGGTGAGCGCTGTGAATTGTGCAAGACTGTTGAATCACAGATCTGTACCTCTGAAGCAAATAATACATTATATGTTAAAAAACAAGAAGAAAAAGAAGAAGATAGCAGGAGGGGAAGAATGAAGGGGGGGAAATCGGAGGGGAACATGAACCATGAGAGACTATGGACTCTGAGAAACAAACTGAGGGTTCTAGAGGGGAGGGGGGTGGGAGAATGGGTTAGCCTGGTGATGGGTATTAAAGAGAGCACGTTCTGCACAGAGCACTGGGTGTTATACGCAAACAATGAATCATGGAACACTACATCAAAAACTAATGATGTAATGTATGGTGATTAACATAACATAATAAAAAAAAATTAAAAAAAATATATATATACCCATAGCAGTTCCAGCAACACTTACTTTGACTTTTCACTGTTTTTCAAAACATTGATACACTTTCCCAGAGTCAATAAAGAAGTGTTGATATTCCCAGTCTCTCTTAACCTTTCCCCTTCATTCTGTGTCTTCATGCTTCTTTCTGAACCAGCAAGATCACATAAACACAATCTGAATTAACAAAAAAAAAAAAAGTTCTTCAAAACAATTCAAAATAATTACAACTTTTTTTTTTTTAAGTGAGAGAGAGAGAGAGCATTAGTGGGGGCTATGGGGTAGAGGGCGAGGGGGAGAGAGAATCTTGAGCAGGCTCCATGCTTAGCATGGAGCCCGATAATGGGGCTTAAGCTCACACTCCTAAGATCATGACCTGAGCCGAAATTGAGTCAGACGCATAATCAAATGAGTCATCCAGGAACCCCCAAAATAATAACAATTTAAAGAATGCTCAACTTACTCACTGACTCGCATTACACGAGGCATTTCAGAATCTTCAATCTGTAATATTCTAATAGTGAATATGCTGTGACTAAAAGAAATACAGAAAAATCCAATGTTATCTTTCATTCTTAACTTCTGTATTCTAAATAGGCAAAGCAAGCATCTAAATCAACATCTATTTATATCCTAATACTAACCATACCTCTAGCACTGCACTTTCCAACTAGATGCCAGATATTTCAATCCGGTATTCCACTATCACCTACATCCCAAACTCCCCAAAACCAAATACCTTATCTTTCATTTAGCCCCAAATTCTTTGAACCCTCTCAACATTCCAACTTCTATCAGTGACATCACTTATAGTAAAAATCTCAATTTACTTGCAAAGATCATACTATTAGTTAAAATGGTATATATACTGCTAATTTTCTTTTAATATACACCTAAAGTAAAGCATACATTGGCCCAAATACAGGCTAATCTGGATCATATACTATCTTCATGGCATACTGAGTTTGGGGGACAGGGCTCTTTCCTCCTTTTTTTTTTTTTTTAAAGATTTTATTTATTTATTTGAGAGAGAGAGAATGAGAGAGCACATGAGAGGGGGGAGGGTCAGAGGGAGAAGCAGGCTCCCCGCGGAGCAGGGAGCCCGATGCGGGACTCGATCCCGGGACTCCAGGATCACGACCTGAGCCGAAGGCAGTCGCTTAACCAACTGAGCCACCCAGGCGCCCAGGGCCTTTTCCTCCTTAAGAGACAACCTGTTTTAAATATCTCACTGCTTAAACTTAGTTCCTTTTGTCTCTCATGCCTCAATCCCTTCCTTCAAAAACATCATTCCTTAACCCCTTGAGATGCATATTGTAGGCAACTCTTAAAATATTGAGGTTAGATATTCACATAAAGAATAAAAATACCTAAGAGACTTCATGCAAATTAGTAAATTTTGTTAGAACAATAAATAGTCCTGATAGTCTTATGTGTTTAGTGCTCTTAACAAAATATTTTTTATGCCCATGAATTCATTTAACATATCAGAAAACCTACTGCCCACTTTAGTCTTAAATTAGTTGTATTTACAATACCACAGAATACCCTGGGTGCTTCAAGCTCAAACAGCAGGGTTTCCTCTTTACCTTCTACTAGAAGCATTGTTCAGCTTTGTGAAGGCAACACTCTGGTGCTTTATTCCTAGTTTTAAGAGTCTATATGCTTCTTTGGAATCAGATACTTGAATCCACTGTAGATCTTTGAAAAGTAAAGAGGACATATACCACTTTATAAAAACAGCATTTGTTATACAATGTAATCTCTTTAGAGATTTGTAACCTCTTTTCCCAAAGACACATAATGAAATCTTTTAATAACATCCCCTAGGTTAGGTGAAAGCCACTCAGGTATTCTATATTCCACTAGAAAAGAGATACACAAGAGGAGGATATTATAATTATTTTCCAATATTTAAGTTATACAAACACAGATGTTTTTCAATAGTAGGCCAAAGGGAAAATTAAAAACAGAAGAGATTCCTTAGAATTAAACATCCGGAAAAAAAAAAAAAAGACAAAGACAAAACATACTATGGATTAAACCTACAATGTGAGACACTGCACATTGCAATTCATTAGGGAATCATGAAGTCAAATTTAGAGTCATAACCAGCATTTTATAAAAATGAAGTAGAATACAGAAAAATATCAAAGTGTATTCCTTATACTAAGGGTAAGTATAATTAATGAAACTTCTGAGTTGTAAATATGTATGCATACATATACACAAATGAGTACTAGATCATGATGTTATTAATATATGTATGTACTTCCTACTTTGAGTAGTGGCTTTAAAAAGTTGGAAAAACACCACAGTGGAAGAACAGATACATTTCCATAGCTTCACAGGTGCTACAAAGCAGCAGAATAATGTGAATACCAACACACACAGCTTTTCCCACCTCCCAAAACCCCATCAATGATACTCAAGCAAAACAATAACAACACTGACCCCTTTACACTCAGGTTTAATTAACATACCAAAACATACCTCCAAAGCACAAACTTCTCTATGTTGATGTTATTAATATAAAAATTTTCAATCTCCAGTTTGCTGTAACAAAGCTTAGAAAGAAACTTCAGAGCAATAAGATAAAAAGCACTCATGACTATACCTTTTATAAAAGAATAGCCCTTTACATCTTGTGAAAGGCGTAGCATCTTTCTCTTTTGGAACTTAGATAATACAGGAACAAACAAGTCATAAATAGATTCATTGTAAATCTCAAAGAAAGAAACCCATACAGAAAATTTTATATTATTATCCATATTCAAGCTAGCTTGTTCACAATCTTTCATGGATTCTTCAAACTCTGGGATATTCAAAGAGTTGATTAAACTTCCTACAAAAAATAAAAAAGGATAATCACAAAATTAAGAAATTGGCTAAAAATGAGACAAGACAGATCAAGACCTCTGGACTTGAAAAACTAAGTGTCCTTAATCTTTTAACTAACAATGTTAAACACTTTTTGGACCAAAGCAGATGTAAAAAAAAAATCTGTATTAACCAAAGCTTGGCTTCTTTTTATCTTTCTTTTCTTTCAGAAATAATGCCAATGAATCAAATTGAAGTTACATGTAAAGGACAAAGAAAAAATAGTATCTCTCTTGAATTCTACATGTAAGTTATAAGTGAAAGGGATTCTCTGTGATATTAAACCCAAATAAAACTTTACAGTGACTGATATTTCATGTTAGTATGTACCATTTTCCAAGAATTACTGTCATTAAAAAAAATTAAATCATTAGGAGTGATTCAAAAATTAAAAGCTATTCAAATGTATTTCATATAATCAACATTTGAAAAGTGAGTGAGAAAGGAAACCTTACCATAAAGAGTATCATAACTATCATTCTGCATCACAACCTAAAAAGGAACAATTATTTTTAAGTTAAAAACCATTTTTAGTTAAGGTTAAATAATCCGTACATTGATTATCTATCCGAATAAGTCACCAACCAAACCACAACCTTTCATCTACTTAATTCAATGACCTCCATTAATTCTTTCCCCTAGTTAAATAATATAGTCTCATAATAAGAAATCTGGGAAACCACAGAAGAATATTAAAAAGAATATCATCACATATGATCCCTGCCACTCACCAGTAATATTCAATATATTCCTTTCTATTCTATTCCCCACATTTATTACATTGAGAGCTTTTACTTTTACTCACTATAATTAAAATTTTTTTTTTAATTTTATTTATTTGACAGACAGAGACACAGCAAGAGAGGGAACACATGCAGGGGGAGTTGGAGAGGGGGAAGCAGGCTTCCCGCAGAGCAGGGAGCCCAATACAGGGATCGATCCCAGGACCCTGGGATCATGACCTGAGCCGAAGGCAGACACTTAACGACTGAGCCACTCAGGCGCCCCTTAAAAATTATTTTTAAACAAATAATGGTGGCTGTGTAACTGAATAGATGTGAAATAAATTAATTATTCCCCTATTACTAAACATTTAGATTATTTACAGTTTTTTCAGTAAAAATAATACTAAGATAAATATCTTCATTTATAATATTTTTCTTCTGTATTCTAATTAGTTCCTTAGGATATATCCCTAAATGCGAATTAGTGGATGAAAAGATATGAAAAATTTTAAGTTCTCACTCACAGTATTGCCAAACTGTTTTCTAAAAACACATTTTACAACCAATGTATGAAAGCGTGATTTCATTTTTTAAATATTTTAATAACTTCACAGGCAATATGATGTTTTAACTGGATAACTTGTAAGGGAAATTTTTTTCATTATTAATGATTTCAATTTCCTCTAAGAATTTTCTGTGCAACTACCTACCAATTTCCATAATTTTTATTTATACTCACTATTTTACTTTCAGAGATCACAATCATGGACCTTGAATTTTGAACTCCACTGAATAAAAATATTTTATTACCTTGAAACCCTGATTTCTAAATGTCTTAAAAAAGAAAAACCCCATCAATATTTTGCAACTATCTATAAAAACTGTTAATAGTTTTAACAATCTTTAATAGGATAAATGTCTGAAAACATAAAATCCATAAGAAACAGGAAGAATAGACAAATACACATTTACAAAAAACTTTGTGAAAAATAAAGGAAAGAAAGAAAAGAGGCCAATATAACTTAACAGATAAATGTTAGAAGAAATTTTCACTTTTTATTTCTCACATTCCCTTGTTTAGATTTTGTGTGTACAAATTACTTTTACAATTAAAAAAAATTTTTTTTAATCATTACATATAGTACTGTTTCTACAACAACCAAAACGATTTCAGAACCATTTACATTTGTACTGTTTAAACATTTCTACTATCTGTACAATATATAGCAAGAAGAGAGGTCTTCAAACAAGTTTATTCTTTTCTCAAAAAGACAACCATCATCACCATCACTGTAAAATATTCTAATATAGATTGAAACAAAGTAAAGAGCTTATAAAAGATCATGATGTATATATTTTTCACATACTAGACTACTTCCATACCTCTTTAATTTGCCGAAGCAATGCACTTTTGCTAGCAACCTCTTCTTTCTCTTGGTGTGGTGATAACCGTAAATATTCTCTCGATCTATGTGGTTTAAGGTTCATCTTTGTATACAGTCTTTCCTGAAGACTATCAAATAATACATTCAAAGTTCGCGGCAGAATACCAATATTTTCTTCTGTGCCTGTGAGAAGAATTTTTGTTTTATACTCTCTTAAAGTATTAGGAAAGTGGAAAACATTCTTGGATTACCAAGGCTTCTTTTATACCACCAATAGGTAAGAATAAACAGCTAAGACAAAAGCGAAAGAAGTTGAAAGATTACTCAGTTTTCTATCACTTTGCTCTTCACTGAATAATGGACATTTTATCAACTATTATACTGAGGCAAAACCTGAAATTTTACATTCAGATCAGCCATAACATTTGCAATCACCCATAACCACAAAGTATAAAAGTAAACAAAATTCTTCCCTGGTTATCCATGCTTAATTCACTATGTCACATAAATCCTTTTTCTGAAATTTTATCATCTAATTCTCTATCATATGGGTAAAGCAATTTCACAAATGAATTAAATCAATCTGAATCAAAAGCCATTGGCAATACACATTCAATATGCTATTACTATTAAAAATGGAGCAAATGTACTGGATAACGGAAACATAACTACATGCAAGTATCATGAGGATGAGTGAATATTAGTGTTTTTTTCCTTTCTAGTAAAAATAATAAGTTTACCTTGAAATGTATATGTTTTGCCTGAATTGGTTAGCCCATAAGTAAAAATCAGCCGACTTTGTCCTTTCAAGAGGTCTTTTACTGGCTGCATAATGCAACCCTGGAAGAATTCCTTCTGTGTAGTTTCTGGGCCAAAAACCTAATAAGCATTTTTAAAAACAAGTCTTTTTAGAAAATTCAAGTAAATTTTTATAATCAATTCTACCCCTATAACTCATGTTTTAAAAATTTATTTTTTTAAGCTTATTTATTTATTTAAGTAACCTCTACAGCCAACATGGAGCTCAAACTCATGATCCTGATATCAAGAGTTGTGTGCTCCCCAGACTGAGCCAGCCAGGCACCCCTCATGTTTCAAAAACTTAAAAGATTTCTTTTACAAGATTCATATACTTAGGATAGGTGCCATATCCCCAACTCTCACAAATATACATGATAGTTTAACTACTGTCAGAAAGTTTTCAAGATAGAAATCTGACCTAGTCAATCAAGTTTTCATTTAAATTTTGAAAGAACATTTCTTAAAACAAAAAAGGTTAAAAACTATATAGTAATTTATTCACTTCCAATTACATATTTACAAACCTGAAATTTGAGTCCTACTCTTGAGAAAAAAATACCAGTGCCTAACACCTAAGTTCCATAAGCACATGATGTATATAGTTCATTATATACAATTATGTAGCTATTTAGCCTAAGTCAAATCTCTTCTACTTAAAAGAAAAATTTTCAGTTTCACATAAGCACTTACCTTGGAAAAACTAAATTTCTGTGCCATCTGCCCAGAGCTTTTCTCACTTAACCGACCAAGGATGCTTTGAGGATCTTTCAGCAGAATAGTCTGTGAGTCCAGCATATATACACAGCCCTAGAACACATAAATAAATATAAAGAATCCCACAATAAATAAATAAAAACAATGGTATTTTGTCCATTTAATGAAAGTAAAATCCACAAACCTCAGACTCATGTTCTTTTTCTGACTGTGTAAATGGTCTTATTCGAAGACAAACCTGGAGATAATCTTTGGATTCCAAACTATTTGCCTTAAAAAAGAAGAACAAAATAACTGTATTTAAAAAATGCAAAATACGGCTTTTCAGAAATCACCTTTCTTTAAGTGGCTATTACATTACAAACTGAGACTATACAGAACCTCTAAGCAAACAGTGCTTCTTCTGTTTGTAACCATTTTATATGTCTAAAGAGAAGCAAATCTACTTAGAAAAAAACACCACAAAAGACTCAGTTTCCCCTACATTCTATATTTATACTTGAAGTTTACAATATACCTCTTTTCCATAAAATCAACTTTGACAACTAAATACAAATAACAGGGCTCTAAGTCACTAAAACATAGTACTCTAGAATAAATTACATGTAACCAGAATAGTCTATTAACCCAAATTTCAAATCCATCTAAAATTTTTTTGCTGGGGCGCCTGGGTGGCTCAGTCGTTAAGCGTCTGCCTTCTGCTCAGGTCATGATCCCAGGATCCTGGAATTGAGCCCCGCATCGGGCTCCCTGCTCAGCGGGAGGCCTGCTTCTCCCTCTCCCAATCCCCCTGCTTGTGTTCCTTCTCTCGCTTTGTGTCTCTCTGTCAAAATAAATAAATAAAATCTTTAAAAAAAAAAAAAAAAAACTTTTTTGCTATACAGCATTCTCTTTATTCCTTCCTTGGGGGAAGAAATGAGTTTAGTTCATTTCTTAAAATAATTCTAAAGAAATGTGTTTTGTTTTGTTTTTTAAGTAAAAAGGGAACAATTACTTAAATACAACTTACTAAAGAAAAACAACAACAAAAAAACCACCCAGAAACTAGAAAATCTGAACAGTCCTATATCTATTAAAGAAATTCAACTTACATTCAAATAAACAAAATAATCCCACAAAAAAAACGCCAGGCCCTGGTAACTCATTAGTCAATTCTCTCAAACACTTTAGGATATAATCATACAAATCACAGAGAAGCCTTTAAGTAAGTAATCTCTACACCAACATGGAGCTCAAACTCATGATCCTGAGATCATGAGTTGAAAAGTGTTTATGTAAGAGAACGCTTTTCAACTAATTCTGAGTATGACATAACCTTGACACCAAAATCTGACAAAGATATCCCCAGAAGAAATTACAGAACAATATCCCTAATTTAGATGCAAAAATTCCCTAACAAAGTATTAGCCAATATATAAAATAGGACAGTACATCCTGACCAAAAATGTTTAATCTTAGGAATGCAAGGTCAATTTAACATTCATAAATCAATTTGGGTAAATAACCACACTGAAAGAATAAAGAAATGTTCATCTCTAGGGGCGCCTGGGTGGCTCAGTCAGTTAAGTGACTGCCTTCAGCTCAGGTCAATCCGAGAGTTTTGGGATCAAGCCCTCAGTGGGCAGTCTGCTTGTCCCTCTCCCTCTGCCTCACACTTGCTCATGCTTTCTCTCTCTCTAATAAATAAATAAAATTGTTAAAAAAAAAAAAGAAATGTTTATCTCTAATAGATGTAGGGGGAAAAAAGCATTTGAATGATGACATGAAATTGACACAAGTATTCAACATCCATTCATAATAATTCTCAGCAAAGTGGAATAGAGAGGAACTTCCTTCACCTGACAAAGGACATTTACAAAAACCTACAGCAAGGGGCGGAGCAAGATGGCGGAGGAGTAGGAGACCTGGATTCTGTCTGGTCTCAGGAATTCAGCTGGATGGGGATCAAACCATTCTGAACATCTACAAACTCAACAGGAGATC